AGGTATTCTTGGGTGTCACACATGCCAAAGTGTTCATGTGAAGTTTAGTAATGGTGCTTAATAATATGCTTAATTTGCTTAAAAATAAAAATTCATGTCAAACTTTATTAGGGAAAATAACTCTCACTGGCTTCTTAAGGTTAATATTTAAAGTAAGAATTGAACATGAATACATTCTACTAATGTGATATTAGATTGAACTTTCAAAACATCACATTTCAATGTCACCATTCTTACTCTTTTTTAAAAGATTTTGTTTATTTGTTTGTCAGAGAGAGTGCACAAGCAGGCAGAGAGGCAGGGGGAGAAGCAGGCTCCCCGCTGAGCAGGGAGCCCGAAGTGGGACTTGATCCCACGACCCTGGGGTCATGACCTGAGCCGAAGGCAGAGGCTTAATCACTGAGCCACTCAGGCATCCCACCATTCTTACTCGTGTATAATATTTTTAAAGCTAGGAATATAGCATTTTCATAATTGAATTTACTTGGGACAGTCCCGTTAAAATTATATGAATTCTCATTTCTAAAGCTTCTTTAAATGGAAAAATGTCTAGCAGGTGTGGGAAGAAGCATCAAAGCGAATCTGATAAAATCACAGCCCTCCCCCCAGAAGGAGCATAGGACATAGATTTCGGAAAAACGTGTAATGCTTGTGGATTTGTAAGGTTACTATTTCATGATTAGTATGATGAGTTTATGAGGTCTAAAGCAATCGATGGGGTCTTAAAACATAAATGTTAAGTGATGATTGGAATAGAGATGGAATTTAATTGATGTCTGCAAAGGGCTGTGTGAAAGGACCAGCACTCATCCCCTGGAGGCAGTAAATGGATTTTATTTTCGGGGAGACTCAGACAATCAGTAGAGTGTTCATAGCCCCCTGAAGTCCACATTGTCCCACACCTGGGGGCAGAGCTCCTGTAGGGGACCTCGTGCCTCATGAAAGCAGGGGCAACTTCTGGTGCTCAGGGGCTGGTCTCCCCTTGCCCTTCCTCTGAGGTCACTGAGCGCTGCTGAGCGCCCTCCCTGCTTAGGCTGCGAAATGGAATGAACTGAGGTCCAGGCCAGCAGAGCTGAATTCACGAGCTCAGATTAAAAGGCCCCCAGGGAATCCAAAACCAAATAATGCAGCTTGTGGGGCAGGGAAGAAGATTCGGGACTGTCCAATAGATATTATACTGAACCAACTTTTAACTTGGCTTGAAATTAATTAACCTCAGGCTGGGCTGTCTTCACAAATTAAAATAAGTAAGCACTGCTGGGCAAGAGTAAGTCACAGAAATAACTATAGAAAAAGAATCAGAGAGTTTTTTTAGTTTATCTTATAATAATTATTCAAGTAGTATATCCTGACTTTACTAAACATCTGTCAAAATATGCCACTTGAATATATTACAAATCAACTTGTAATTTAATAGCGTGTGCAGTGGTCCTGCACGCGTCCCGAGCTCTGAGCACAGGGTCCCTCGCTGTCATGCGGCGGGGGTGGGCGGCAGAAGCTGGCCTGGCCTCTAACTCAGTGTGTAATGTCTTGATTATGCAACTTTCAGTCACGTGTTAAACGTATGTGTGTTTTTTCTTCTTCTGCAACAGGTTGTTGAAGATTGGAAGTTCATAGCCCAGGTGCTGGACCGGGTGTTTCTGTGGACTTTCCTTCTGGTTTCAGTTGTTGGATCTCTCGGGCTTTTTGTGCCTGTCATTCACAAGTGGGCCGACAGAACAGTCCCGGTCCACATCGGACAGGCAGGCAAGTGATGCCTCCCCCTGGCAGGAACTTAGCTCCGAAAGACACGCATAGCTCTGTACCTATCACCGTAGAAAATGTAAGTTGTGCTTGAAATTGGACGCCAGCTCAATCAGACCAACAGCAGCGAGCACTGCTATACCCTCCCGGATGGCCCACTGGAACGCTTCACCCGCACGAGTGAGGCGCCGGCTCAACACCTGACCTAGAAATAGTGACCCCGCATCTGAACCGCATTAGCGTGAACCCGGCCTGCGGGTCCTGGCAAATAACACCCACTGTAATCACAGGGCGCGCGCTGCTTGACTGTGTCTGAAGACGGGTCTCAGAACTACTCCTGCATTTGGTACAAGGCACACATTTTAAATGTCCCTGTCCTCTACCCCCATCTCATCTTTGGCACGGTGGCCCGCGGCGGTGGTAAATGAGCCAGCTACTTGGTGCCGTGACGATTAAGTGCGATGCCGATTTTCTAGAACCGACGTTTCAAAAAATGAAAAGTGGGAATTCCTTGAAGGCTTACTTTATTTCTTAGATGCTTTAACTGAACAATTACGGTATTAACCATTTTCGTAGCTTACCGTCCGTTGTAAAATCATACAATAGACAACTCTCACGGACATGCACAGGTGTCTCCTTAATGATTTCTACCCCCTTGTCCACATTTCCCACAATAACCACCTTCTGTATAAATTGTAGCATTTCTGTACCCTTCACCTTAGAACTACAATGAAGTGAATCTCAGTTTTAAAACTTAAAAAAGCCAAACTGCTGTGGAGAATACCAAATCGTAACAGAAACCATCTTCCGCAGGGAAAGGTGGATTCTAACCAGGCAGAAGCTCATGGTTACGTGTCCGGAATGTTTCGGTTTCTCTCTCGTCCCTACAGTGACCGTGCTAGAGCCCTGGAGTTGAGAGGGCTGGGGGATGTCCTGCAGGCTTAGCCTTTCACTGCTCACTCGGGACGGACGGGCTGTCGCCAGTAAACGAGTTAGATTCCCTCTCTCGTGTCGCAGTTCAGCTGTGACCGAACGGGGAGAGCAAGACCAAAGCCCGGGTTTGAGGCACGACTCCAGGTCTCAGAGAACAAACGCCTTGTTTACGGCGAGTAACCGTCTTAGGGCGTCGGTGCTCTCTGGAGGCGGGAGCGGGCGGGCTCTTCCCTGTCTCGCTGTGGACACACATTCGGTGTCCCTCAGCAAGTGAACATTGGGTGTGCCGAGTTTAAACTGCCCGTTAGCTAGCTTAACACGTTCACTCCCTAACCCCTCTCCAGTCTGCATTCCCGCTGCTTGTAACTTGTATGAGTAAATTTTAGAGAGATCTTCATTTGACTTACTGAAACACAAGTCAGCACGGGCTGCAGTTCTGTCGGTTTTATTTTTGCGTAGCCTAAATATCCAAATGACGTGGCAAGATCAAAACAGTCTCCGTGAATCCTTGTCTCCTACCAGTGGCCACCCAGACTCCGGCCTGTGGTCCAGGAGACTCACTTCTAAATAATCTGTCTCAAGCAGTGGTTCTCAATTGGGTAGTTTTGTGCTCGAGGGGACACTTCATTTTTTGAGACAGTTTTGGTTGTCCTAACCGGCAAGGGACTGGCGGTGTGTCACTGGCATCTACTGGGCAGACCCCAGGGGGCCACTAAAGATCCCACAATGTCCTCCCAGCGCAGTGACGCAGAACGTCACTGGTGCCAAGGCTGGGAAGGGCTGTTGCTGAGGTCCATCTACTGTGACCGTGGGAACAGCTGCCACGTCTCCCAGTGGTCACTCAGGCTGCTCTGGGACATGCGCGGGCTCCAAGGTGGAAGTACGACCCTCAGAATCTTGGGAACTGGGTGGCGGGGGGAGCAGAGTGCAGGGTCAGAGCCAGTGTAGGGAGGGCTGCTGCTGAGAGAGCACGATACTTGGAGCGGGCCGCGGGCTGGGGAAGGAAGCCTCGGGAAATCTGCTGCGAACCGACCTAAACAGACATGCCTGGGTCTCGCTTACGCCTCCACCACCACCAGCAGGAGACAGTCTTCCTAGTTCGGCCATTTTCACACGGTCTGTGATACAGCATACCGCCCAACACTGCAGAAAAGCTGTATTTTGATGTTTCTCTCTCTCTTTTTTTTAAAATATTTTATTTATTTCACAGAGATCACAATCAGGCAGAGAGAGAGAGAGAGGAGGAAGCAGGCTCCCCGCTGAGCAGAGAGCCCGATGCGGGGCTCGATCCCAGGACACTGGGATCATGACCTGAGCCGAAGGCAGAGGCTTAACCCACTGAGCCACCCAGGTGCCCCATTTTGACGTTTCTTTACCAGAAAGCCAGTTTAAACATTCACTTATCTATAATAAATACTCTTGACGTTTTTCTTGCATGAATCTCTTCTGACAAAATGAAGACGACGGGATAAATAAGTAAGCCTTGAAATGCGAGATCCAATGCTGGTAGCTCGAGGTCAAGAAACCGTGAGAAAGAGCCTCAATGTAAGACTTCTTGGAGGCAACAGGACGGATTCTTTATAACACGGGATTTGATGTGACTTCTGGGATATCACACAAAAGAGCACAGGTGACAAAAAACTGACGAAGTGGAATTCATGAAAATTTAAAACTTCTGTGCATTGCAAGACGTTATCGACAGAGTGAAAAGTCAACCCGCAGACGGGGAGAAAATATCGCACATCACATGCCTGATAGGAGTTTAATAACCATGACACACAGAGAACTCCTTGAACTTAAGGACTGAAACACCCAAACAGCCCCGCCCCAAAGCGGAAGAGGACCTGAGCAGACGCATCCCTGAAGGCGCTGCACAGAGGGCCGGGAGACTCGGGAGGAGATGCTCAGCCTCATCATCACGTAAATGTGAATCAAAATGGCAGCGAGACCCCAGCTCCCACGCAGGAGGACGGGCGCTGTCGAAAGCACAGGGAGTGAGCCTTGATGGTGACGAGTCCAGCCGGAGCCCCAGGGGCACGGGAGACGGTGCGGCCACCCGTGGAGAGCCGTCCGGTGCTTCCTCAAAAAATTAAAAATAGAATAGTTCCACCTCGGGGCCTCTACCCCAAAGAACTGGAAGCAGGGTCTCCAGCAGATCCCTGGGCACCCACATTCACAGCAGCGTTGTCTGTAACAGCCAAAATGCAGGAGCCCCTGGCGTCCACCGACGGAGGAACAGATACGCAGAACATCCGCTCGTGCACCAGAGCGTCGCTCAGCCGTGACCAGGAAGGACATTCAGACACCTGCCACCGCGAGGACGGGCCTGGAGGGCATTACGCTCGGGGAAAGGATGCAGTCACAAAAAGACGAGTATTGCATAATTCACTTATATGGGGTCCTCAGTCAAAATCCTACAAACAGTGGCATGGGGGTCCCAGGGGAGAGGGGCGGGGGGCTCGTGGTTTCCGGGATGAGGAGGGTCTGGAGGTGGGGGTGACAGCTGGAGGTCCTGCACAGAAGTGGGTGCCTCCCAATGATGGGCATGGGCCACATCCTAGGGGAGCGACGTTTCCCACCAGAAGGAACAAACGCGCCCCATGCCCAGGCCGGTGAGCCGCCGGCCAACCCAACACGGCCTCATGCCTCGTCCCTTGCCAGCAGAGGCTGCAGGAACAGCCCCGCCGTCCCCAGGATGCACACCAGGATGAAAACCCACAGGAAGATACGATCAATGACCATGGCCACGTACTTCCAGTCATCCTGAATCTGAAAAACAAAAACACACATCAGGAAAGCAGAAAAAATAAAGCCCGAAGGGCCGCAGAGGGAACCCACTTCTAGCAGGAACATCGAGTCAACACGTTGCAGCGGCTGAAGCCATCTGGCCTCCCGACACAAGAAAGCTCATGCTCCTAACGCCGTCCACAGACGCCCACCAGTCCCAAGTCCCCCCACACCCTGCGAGAAACAGGCATAAAACACTCATGCAGAGTCTGTTTTGAATCAGGAACTTCTTGGGGCGCCCGGCCGGCTCAGTCAGTAGAATGTGTAACTCTTGATCTCACGGTTGTGAGTTCAAGCCCCATGTTTGGTGTAGAGCTTACTTAAAGCAAACAAACAAAAAAACCCCAAAAAATCCACAGAAATTTCTTAATGTACACATAATCTATTTATTCTTTTTTAGATTTTATTTATTTATTTTATTTTTTTTAAAGATTTTATTTATTTATTTGACAGAGATCACAAGCAGGCAGAGAGGCAGAGAGAGAGAGGAGGAAGCAGGCTCCCCGTGGAGCAGAGAGCCCGATGTGGGGCATGATCCCAGGACCCTGGGATCATGACCTGAGCTGAAAGCAGAGGCTTTAACCCACTGAGCCACCCAGGCACCCCTAGATTTTATTTATTTATTTAAGAGAGAGACTGAGCACAAGCAAGGAGAGGGGCAGAGGAAGAGGGAGAAGCAGGCTCCCTCCTGAGCAGGGAGCCCAATGTGGGGCTCCATCCCAGGACCCCGGGATCACGACCTGAGGCAAAGGCAGACGCTTCACTGACAGAGCCACTAGATGCCCCATAATCTATTTTTTCCTAAACTGACTTCTAATTTATAAGGTTGGTAAAACCAGTTCTTTGACCTGTGCCTGTGGGAGGGCTCCTGGACCTTGTTAGAAAAGCTAATACAATGCAACCGTCATTTACCATTGCTTCCAAGTACTGTTCTTACCCCGTTTTAGATACTAATTTCCTTTCAGCATCTGTCCGCCCATGAAACCAGCACATCAGGGCCAGGCCGGCGTCATCCCCGCGGCCCCTCCCCAGGCCCAGCTAACCAAAGATCCTCTTCCACCGTAAGGCCCGAGCACCACGGACAGGGACAGGCTGGAAATCAGACGTAATTGCTGACAATAAAGTAAGAGGCGGAAGAAAGAGCAAGACTAATTGTATATAACACAGCTTCAGTTCAGGCTTGAAACAGGAAGGAGAACCGCATGTTAATTACAGTCCTAGACAACTCCGCAAGCAAGGAAGCCATAATTGAATTGAGGAAGAGAGAACCCATGAATCAGTGGATTTTGAAGAAATAATCACATAATCAAGGGGCAGCATGTGATTCAGTAACCGAATTAAGTGCACGGAAATGGGCTGGGGCACGAGAACTGTCGCTCCCATCGTGAGCTGCATGGGGGGTGCTCTTGAAGACATTAGGCTCAGCTACAATTAGATGTAATGCCCTGTTTGCATTCCCAGGACCCAGGCTGTGGTTTGTAAGCACCTCAAATACAGAACAGACCCTGGGATTCCTCTGGTCCCTCGGCCAGCCGAACGCCCCCCAAAGGCTGTCAAGGCAGAGGGCGGAAACACAGACTTGGAGACACTTTGGTTTTAATCCCGGAGTCTGAGAATCTGGGTCAATTACATGACCTCGGTTTACCTTGGTTTCTCCGTCTGTGACATGCAGGTACTCACCCTCCTGAGTCCCACAACCCCCCGCCCCTCCCCCAACCCTCAGTTCGTTTCCTGTTCAAGAACCTCTTACGGTTTGTCTCCTTCTCTGGTTTGATCTTGTTTCCTTTTTCCCTCTATTCCACTATGATCTTCTGTTTTGTTCCTTAAATTCCACGTATCAGTGAGATCACATAACTCTTCTTCTGACTGACTTGTTTCGCTTGGCATAATCCCCTCCCGTTCCATCCCTGTCCACGCACATGTAAGTGTTCATCCTTTCCGATGGCTGAGGAACGTTCTGTTGTGTTCATCCATTCATTTGTCGTGGACATCTGGGTTCTTACATACTTTGACTACTGTGGACGTCGCTGCTGTAAACACTGGGGTGCAGGTGCCCCTTCGGATCACTACATCTGTGGTTTTGGGGTAAATGCCCAGTCGTGTGATTGCTGGTTGTAGGGCCCCTCTCTTTTCTATGAGTGCTGGGTGTTAAAGAGACTGAACTCTGAAACTAACAACACACGCTGTAATTCATTGCATTTAAATAATAAAAAAGGACAGCGCTCCCCTCGAGGGTGAGTGCGATGACTTGCGGAGTGAGATGAGGTGGGGCACGCGGTCCTTCCAGGGCACACAGTCCTTTGTGGACAACACCTGCTGGGATTCAGGCTGAACAGATACCCGACCCTTCTCCAAATACACATGTTCCTCTAACGTCTTCGTGGGCTTAGCCGGGTGCAGGAGGAGGGGACGTGGGTCTCACCCAGGAACACACATGTGCTGCACAAAGAGTGGGGCGAGAACTGGCGTTAGGTCTGTTAAAGTCTCGAAGGCAGGATGATGCGGGGTGGTTCGTGGAAACTTTGGAACTACTGATAACAAAGCGGCGTCAGACAGAACAGGGAACTGGCACAAGCTCTTGGCTCATTCTGCCAGCCCGGCCCCGGAATGTCCCCGAAGCCAGAGGAGCCTGTAGGTTAGGGGCTGGCCTGGGTGCGCTGGGGTGGGCGGGCGGAGGAGGGTGGGCCAGGCACAGCTTTGGGCCGTGCTCTTTTCACCCCGAATGCCCTGCCTCTTTTCAGACTGTCCACTCCCTGCCCAGAGATGCAGGCTCCTTGGGAGCGGACGAGAGCCCGGTGGAGGTGAAAAGCCAGAGGTCGAGATGTCCCTTAAGTGACGAGGTCATGCAGAGGGAAAGAGGCACCTTTGAAGGGTGGTCTAGTCCATCTGGCCTGTGGCCACGTGGGCACTTCCCCAAACAGCTGCAAGGATGGCTGACCCAGAAGAAGTGAGTTTTCAGACCTCAGTACACAGACTTAGTCATTTGAAAGGAAATTCACGTGACAGACAGGTTAAGGATTTAAACTAAACACGAGATCTGTGGAGATGACAGAGTGTTAGAAATGTGAAGTAGAGGGAGCAGGGTCCCAGAAGAAACAAGTGAGACAGACAAGTCAAGGAAAAGACCCAAGAGATGGGACAGTCAGCAGGAGGAGACCTGCGAGGAGGGGTGGGGGTGGCAAGCAGGAAGGAACTGGTGAGGTGGGTGGGGGGCAGGGAGAAGGAAGGGACTGTGAGAAAGGGTGGGGGGCAGGAGGGAGGAGGGACCAGTGAGAAGGGGTGGGGGGCGGAGGGCACGAGGGGAGAGGTGGGGGCCGGAAGCACAGGCATGCAGTTCAGGGAAAGAGGAACAGGGAGAAATCTTCACAGAAAACTTGGAGCCCCTGAGAACCGAAGGTGGGACGTTTGGGGCAAGCGGTTGGTGAGAATGTCCATCTAGGAGAGACCCGCACACACCCCGGGCTTGTGCACACAATCCGGCAGTCAGACGAACAGCGTCAGGTTCACTGGGAACTGCTCATCAGTGACACTGAACCAGTAGTACTTCTCAGTGTTTAAGGAAAAGAACTTCAACTTGAGAATTTTCGATCCAGCTAAACTTCCTTGAAAATGAGAGTTTTAACGTTTTGAAGCCCCCAGGCCTCTGAAGTTTCCACTGTCAGCCCTAGAGAAGGCACGTGCTGCAGGGAGAGAGGGGCAGGAGGACGCCCCAGGATGCTCCCGGGGTGAGAGCCTGGTGCGGGAAGCTGACTGCGAGGAAGGGACGCATCCACCCCTCCGCCTCCCCCATCCAGCAGCAGCCCCGGTAACATGCAGGGCGGCTGGGCAGCCAGGAAGGGCCGAGGGGAGCAGGGAGCAGTTGGGGGCGAGACACGGACGCCAGGCGATGCTGTGGGTCTGACTCTCAGATGCACAGCTTTCCCGAAACGAACGAAAACAGAAGACGCGGCTTTCCAAGGAGCCACGATTCAGACTTCACAGTGCACAGCACGAACTCCAGGAAAAAAGAAAATAAATGGAAAACATACAATAAGATGGCCACAACTGAGCCTTAACACGACAGTACCCACAACACGGGAGTGAACAAGGCACCGATCAGAAGGGAGACGCTGGAAGGCGGGAGCGTCCGTCCACGCTGTGCCATGACATCACGCACACGGTGCGTCTCTCCAGCCGGCAGAAGATAAGCTGTCTGCGGACTGGCAGCTCGGAGGATCCTGGCCCCGGGCGCGGGCACGCCTCCCAGATCGAGAGCCGGCGACCAGCAGCTGCGAACCGTGCCGTCAGCAAAGAGCACCTCCGAGGGACCCCAGGCTCGAGGATGACTACAACCCCTCCTCTTACTGCGAGACCAAGAGGGAGCACACGGTGAGCCCCATGAGCAGCCTGGAGAAGGGAGCCGCCTCGCCAGGGTCACCAGGCCTTCCTGTGCCGTGGGGGCCAGCACGGCCGTGACTGGAAGCCCTGCCCTGTGGTGAGCTTCTGAGGGGGCCGAGTGCACCCAGAACTGGTGAGGCCAATCCACGGACCCGGGGAGTGGGAGCCTCTCTGGAAATCTGTGGATCACGACCCAGGGGAGGGAGGGCCCCTCCAGGCAGCTTGTGTGTCCTCAGCACAGGGCGGGCATCCCGGCTCCCGCTGCCTGCTCATACGTTGCTGTCCAGTGGCCTGTGGGCCAGATTTCTGCCATTTCTGGAGAAACAGGAGAGCTAACAGCCCCTGTGGCAACAGATGACCAGAACTGAGCCATGGCTGCCCCTTGCACGTGCCACCCACTGGCCGCTAATTTACCTTTGGGCATTTCAGTGGCAATTTCCATTTTAGTAACAATTTTTAAGTGTCCTTTTGTAGAAAAGATGCTTGTGACACTCTAACACTTTGTATGGTGCCTAGTAACTTTGGAATCGAGTTAATTCCTTTCCTTTTTTTTTTTTTTTTTGAAGATTTTATCTGTTTTAGAGACCGAGCACAAGCAGGGGAGCAGCAGAGAGAGAGGGAGAAGCCGACTCCCCACGGAGCAGAGAGGCCGATGCGGGACTTGATTCCAGGTCCCTGGGATCCTGCCCTGAGCCGAAGGCAGACGCTTCACAGACGGAGCACCCGGGCGCCCCAAGAGTTAGTTTGGTAGCTCGACAGAGGCTTGAGTACGAGTACTCGGATTTCAGTCTTTACGAGGTCTCTGCTAACTGAAACAAGCTGTCAGGCGCATGCGGGAAGGGTAGAGCACGCCTGCCTGGGTTGTCAGTGTTGGGGCCACAGGCTGTCACGGATCAGGTACTTCTGCTCCAGCAGCCGCTTCAGCTGAAGTTAAAGGGGAGCTTGACTTTGTGGCTCAACGATGGGTGAGCGGGAGGCCCCGCGGTGGCCGTGGCCGTGGCGAGCTTACCGCTGTGCAGGCCAGTGGGGCACAGGACAGGCAGCGGCTGTGGGCTTCCTCCTGTCTCCTCCACTGTCCCAGGTGTTCGGAGCGGAACACAAGAGGCTCCAGTCGCTCCACACCCATGTTAACCGCTCGCTGTGCACCTGGGGCTGGAACCATCCGTCCGTCAGCTCCCTGCGACTCAGCAAGTTGAGGCACAGCCTGTTCCCGTGAAAGCAGAGCTTCTTACAAAAGTGTCGTGTGTGATTCCGACAACCCTGGGGGTAAACGCAGGGTCGGGGAGCAGCACACACGTGCTATCGCAAAGTGTAAAACATCCCCTAACGCTCACGTCACTTCCAGTGTGAGATCTGCGGAGGAAACAGGAGCTCAGCCAATGAGAAACAACGAGCAGGAGAGGTCGCCTGGATCCCTCACAGGAGAAGACGGACAAAAGGCAACTAAGCAAACGGGAAAGATTCCCACTCGCTTCTCAGCAGGGAAAAGCTCATGAAAACGGCAATGAGGCTCTGGTTCACACACATTGGGGGAGGGGCGTGCAGCCATGGAAACGCGCAGACGCCGCCTGACGGGGGGACGACCCTGGCCGAATGCCTGGGGGACCTCGCGGTGCCCACCAAGGAAGTTAACAATGCTTCCCTGCGGAGCTCAGCAAGAGCCGCGGGTGCGCGTGTCCACCAGAAGTCGCGCATGAGAGTACGTGCGGTGCCTTCCTTCCCAACAGCCCCAAACTAGACAAGCTGCGCCCGCAGCGCAGGTGACACGGGAAGCAAACCTCCAAGACATTGTGTTGAATGAGAGGTCAGCTGTGGAAGGGTGCGTGCCACGGAATTCCATCTAGATGAAGGCCAAGGGAAGGTAAAGCTGATGGACATCAGGAGGTTGGGGGTCCCTGGGAGGGGGCACCAGGAATACCCCATGTCCTTACTCAGCTCGGGGTTACACGGGTGTTACAGGGGTGTACACGCGATGCAGACTCGCGTGCACCTGACACCTAAATGGGGCAAACACGCAGTCGGAAAGGGAAGTGTGAGTGTAAGCTCAGCTGCTCAAGCCACGTGGAGGCCACGTGCTCTCAAGCCAGGAAGCCAGCTTCTGGCTCTTCTCTGCACCACCCGCCAGCCTCTGGGGCTGCTCCCCTGCTGGGAGCAGTGACGTCGCCCGTCCAGGACAGCGGCCTGGTCCATGGAGGCGCTGGGTCGGCCGCCGACCCCGGGCCAAACTCAGGCCCACCCTGCCCATCCGCCCCAGGGAGTAACGGCTTCTTACCTCTTTGGCTTCGTTTTGCGCTTTCATGTTTTCGGCAATGTACCTGACGCTCTGGACGGCTTCTCTGACTTCCGGCGACAGCGTCGAAAGGGCCAGCACGGCGTGCACGGACTCCGAACTGGAGCTTCTCGGGAGGTTGGCGCTGAAATTCGAGATTTTTATCCTGTGGTGGTGGCACTGGCCGCACGTCCCGTCCTGGCAGGCGCAGCCTTCCTTGCCGCCTCTGGGCTCCACGCGGCTGAAGCACTTGAGGTTGGAGAGCTCGGCGTTGCAGGCTGTCCTCGGCTTCTGGCCGGGGCCCTCGCCGCCTGCCGGCCTGGTCATGAACATGACCTTGGGGAGCAGGTGCAGGAAGACGGTCTTCACCCAGGCGGGCATGGTATGCGTGGTGGGCGTTCGGTAGTGCACGTTGAGCACGAAGACAGTGATGACGATGGACAGCGTGACGAAGATCATCGTGAACAGCAGGTACTCACCGATGAGTGGGATGACCAGCGAGGTGGACGGGATGGTCTCGGTGATGACCAAGAGAAACACGGTCAGGGAGAGCAGCACAGAGATGCACAGCGTGACCTTCTCGCCGCAGTCGGACGGCAGGTAGAAGACCAGCACGGTGAGGCAGGAGATGAGCAGGCAGGGCACGATGAGGTTGATGGTGTAGAAGAGCGGCAGGCGGCGGATGTAGAGCGAGTATGTGACGTCGGGGTAGATCTCCTCGCAGCAGTTGTACTTGATGTCGTGCTTGTAGCCGGGGGCTTGCACGATGGCCCACTCGCCACTCTCCCAGTAGTCCTTGAGGTTCATGGAGGAGCCAATGAGGACCAGGTCGATCTTGGCCTTGTCGTAGGACCAGGAGCCAAACTTCATGGTGCAGTTCTGGTAGTCGAATGGGAAGTAGGTCACGTCAATCCGGCACGAGCTCTTGAAGATGGCGGGCGGGATCCAAGTCACCTCCCCCGTGTACTTGACGAGAGCTTTGGTCTTGTCGTCCACCTGGAAGTCCCCGACAGCACTGCGGAGACAGGAGGACGGTCCAGGGTCACGACCACGCCCTCAACTGGACCCGCTTCTCACAACGCAGGCAGCGGGTGCTGGGAAACACTTACGAAACCACGCGGCAGGAGCGCGCGCCGGAGAAGGTCACCCAGGCCACCAGCCGCTGACCGATGGGGACACCGCGGCCCAAGCCTGTGTCCCCCCAACCCCAGGACATGTCGCTAGTTCGCTCCACAACTGTGAGTCTGCCTTGATATTTACCGAGATGCTTCCAAAGACCCTAAAGAGATTCTTTCCTCTCTAAAGAAATGGGGTGAAGGTGGTCCCTGAGGCGGGACACCTGTGGGTGTGTCTGCCCCTCATTCTGGTTTGGACCCGTCAGCCCCTCACTCAGTCTCTGGTGCGCACCTGCTAAGTACATGTGGGTGTGTAGGGCCAGGCCATGGGGCCGTGAGACGGCAGGGGGCCCACTCCTCCCACCCGGAGCCCCGACAGCTGGGCTCACACCAGACGCAGCCTGTGACCCTGCTCTCCCCACATGTCCAGCCCCGCTCTGCTCGAACAATCACAGGTTCTGATGCCTTGTCTTTCAGACCCTGTGCACAGATTCCTTTACCTTCCTGCTTTCCGGCCTCCCCAGTTCTCTCCTTTCACCTCTGCACTCCCCACCTGTCTGCACAGAGCCCCGGGGACCTGAGTCCTGCATCTGACAGTCCCAGCCGTGGCCTCGCCTGGGGGCCCTACTGGTCTCCTCGAGTTCTGAGTTCTGCGCTGGAGGTATCCATGCCCTCCAGAAGGAGAGGCCGCCACACCTGTCCGCCCCGAGGGCTGCAAACAGGACACACTTGAACAGTCTGGGGACAGCTGTTCCGTTATTTAGTGAGAACATGTGGACACAGAAAGGATGTGTCTTGCTGGTCTCTGCCCCGCCTCCCTTGCCTCCATGAAGGCATGTGACAGCATCGCTCCTGGAGGACACAGGTCACTGCCTCCCTGTCCTCTGGTCGCCGGTCTGCCCCAAAGGTGCCCTGCCAGCTCTATTCATGCTCAGCTCCAGGTCACCCGCCGCGCACCCCGTTCTCACACGCTCCTCCTTGCTCCAGCTCCACACAGACAGGAGGCAGGAAGAGTGGGCAGTGTCCACGTGGCCCTGACTCTGATTCTCCCAAAGAACCCATGGGGTCTGCTCAGGGGGGCTGAAAAGACCCCAGAAGAACCTCCTTGCCGTGTCCCAGGGCCACAAAACATGGGGACAGAAAGAGGCCTCCGGATCACTGCGCGACATCCAGATCACGGCATGCAGGCCCACTCCCTTCTCTGTGAACGTGCCCACTGGGAGACAGCCACGCTGTCTACTGTCCGTGGCTGGGGCTGCTTTTGGGTGATGAGGGCAGAGGGACCGCAGCTGGGACCACCGCCCCCCCCCAGGTCTAGAACAGTCACTGGCCAGCCCTCCCTAGCCACCTCTGTAGTCCAGTGCCTTTGTGAAGAGGACGCTGACGGTCAGACCGCAGGCTCCCGTGGAGTGTTAGTGGCAGGGCCTTGACCCACCGGAACTTGGGGCACGAGTGAGGGGTCACTAAACCACCCACGTGCCCTAAGGTGAGCTGGGGGCAGTGATGGCCAGGGGAGAGGAGTTCTCGTGTCCCAGGGGCCCCAGACACAGAAACCAACAAGAAGCACCTGCCCCTCCAGAAAGAGGCCCCTGCTCTCTGTTGAATCCTTTGCAAGGGGAGCAGTGAAACGGGGCCTGTGGCTTCGATTGTGGGGAGAAGCAAGGAGGGGCAGGGTCCATGGATGGTCTGCAGGGACGGCCATCGGAGATGGTGTGGGCTCGAGTCTCAGATATTCCCCAAACTCCCTCCTGAGCGGACAAAGAGCCACCCAGAAAAATGCTGCTTAGGGTAGGACCCAAGTTAAATGGGGTCAGAAAGGGGCACCTGGGTGGCTCAGTGGGTTAAGGCCTCTGCCTTCGGCTCAGGTCATGATCTCGGGGTCCTGGGATCAAGCTCCGCGTTGGGCTCTCTGCTCAGCAGGGAGCCTGCTTCCCCCCCTCTCTCTGCCTGCCTATCCGCCTACTTATGATCTCTGTGTGTCCAATAAATAAATAAAATCTTAAAAAAAATGGGGTCAGAAACAGGTGAAGAAGAGAAATAAGAACGTTTACAGGTCTGAGAAGCAGGTGTCCAGCGGGGGCCACGCTCCGACCCAGGGGCCCGCCGACACAGACGCTCTCGAGCTGGCGAAAGGAGACGCCCACCCACCCTGTCCTCAAAGTTCGACAAAGGCCACTATCTCCACAACAGCCACTGGGAGGGGAGTGCGAGACTTAGAAATGTGAATGGCCAGATCGCAAGCAGAGCTCACATCTGGAAGGACGGCCCGGGGCTGGGGAAATGGATGGTCTGGTGTGCCCAGCAAGAGGCAGGAAGCGAGCTCCGGAAGCGGAAGGAGCGGCGTAGCAGGAAGAAGTTAAACAACCCGGCCGGACAGCAGCAGGTGTGTCCAGAGTTGGCAGCTGAAGAAAGAATCACGAGAAGGAAAACCACCTTCGGAGCAAAGCGTAAAAGCAACAAGATGGCGTCGAAAGCACGGTCGCGGGAGTGAACCCGGACAGGACTGAGGTCGACGTCAGACAGAAACGGGAACCCCAGAGAAGCACCCAGAGCATGGGTGGACTTCCGATGCACGTGCCAACAGAGTTCCCGGAGTGAAAAATCTAGCAGCGGAACACATCTCACGTCCGCGACTCGGAAAGTCGAGACTTATCCCGTGCGCCGCCCCAACAACAGGACTTCACAGACAAAGGGAGGAAGTGTCCGGGTGCCTGAGCTGGGGGAACAGTCTCCTGCAAGGCCTGTGCTCCCCGGTCGCCCCGGACGGTCCCGGTTCAGGTCATGGTCCCGTTGTACGTGGCAGTGGCCCCCGCTGTCTACCCGAAATCACCCGATTTCGCCCGCTTAGACAGGCGTGTGATTTCCACAGAGACACTTCGCAGCGTTTTTAAGACTTCGATGTGAGGAAGGTTGCAGGCAAGGGTTTTACTTCCAGTTAAGCTTTACGTAAGAAGGCTACAATGTGTTAGGAACGTGTGAGAATGTGGGGTGTCTTGTGCCCACGAGTGCTGAGGGTCCTGCTAGAGAAGGAACTTCAGAAAACAAGGAAACCCCAGGGGAACTCTGGCCTGAACTTGTCAAAGACATTGCTCATGTGTCAAAATGAAGAGAAACTCTCCACAGAGGGACCAGTTGTGAGAAACTCCAGCCGTAACCCAGAGAGAAGAGCTGTGTGGGTTCCTCTAGAACCTATTTTCAGTTCCAGATCCCAGGAGAATTCCTGACGCTACCTGCTCCTCACCACGTCTGACGGGGAAGCCGCTCACGGTGACTCAGGCTTGGTACACTCACGGCCTCCGTCCTCCAGCCGTTCCCCCGAGATTGCCAGCAAGAAAGCAGCCCTGACATTCGCACCATGAGGTTAAAATTTCTGCACACTTTCTCAATTCCAGCTCAGCAAAAATTCTCCGCACCCTGGCCAGCGCCCCAGGACCCTCTCTCTGGGTGCTCAGACTTTGCAAACCAGCTGAGTTTATCTTGTGTTCCAGTTCCGTGCAGACTAAATTTACAAATAGAAGTTGCATGAAAGAAACATTTATGGATGTATTTCCTTGGGAAAACAGAACAAACAAACAAACAATGACAACAAAGCAAAAAGTGGCCCATCTTCCGGGCTGGACTCACTTCACCAGAGATCACAAAATGGGACTCAGCCAAAATACAGCTTCTTCAGTCCTAGCAGTTAAAGCATATTAGTTTGTCCTAATCTGGCACAAAAACCTAAATGCAGAATGCTTTGAATTGTTAAGATTAGATGAACTCTGTACCAAGTGCTTTTCTGAAAAATGCTTCGTGGCTGAAACGTGGTGACTTCAGAGAGAAAGCACAGAGGCAGAAACGCTGCTTTCCACATGCGGAGAACAAACTAGGACACACCGCGGGAGCCCATACGTTTGCCCAGTAACAGAGCTTCGCTGCGGGAAGCATCAGGTTTGGGGAAAGAAGCGGGTGTTGGAGGTGCCACGAGGGGCAGGTGGAGAACCTGTGGGCCCGGAATCACTGGGGAGGGTGAAGCTCCCCTGGGTCTGACCTTTGGAAGGTCCCGTCCTAGAGAGGGCCTCGGTGGCTGCGTCCCCTCCCTGGCTGTCCCTCCGGTGGGCAGCTGCACACCTGGAGGTGATGGGTGATTCCTGCACCCACCCCCAGGGTGCAGTAACGGGCTGGGGTCAGGGTGGGCAGCTCCAGCACTGGGCATACAGCAGGTGCTTGGTAAATCCCCGTGGAGTTCTCCCATCCTCGAAGCCCCCTGGACATGGTCCTGGGCAGGGCCCAGGCTCAGGCACATGGCCACCCTGCGCTTACTTGTTGTAGAGCACGATGTCTGGCTTCCAGATCTTCTGCGCGGGGACGCGCATGAACTCTGCGCCGTCGTAGTCAGAGGGGTTCCACTTCAGCTTGTAGTCGTTCCAGATCTGGGGGGACGAGCGGGCAGCAGAAGGATGCACACGGTCTCCTCCCTCCACCACACCTCCGAGGCACGTCCCTGAGCCCGTTCAGGTGCCCATGCCGTGCTGCATGTGCAGGCTGCCTCCGCCCAGCCCCAAACTGACTGCCGGGGGTGGCCACTAGTGCAGGCCAGCTGCATGCCGCAAGTGCCTGCTGTTTACATTCTGAAATGGCTCTCCAGAAGCTTCTCCACACCCATCTGTACCGCCCCAGCCCAAGAACAGGGAGCTGATGACCCACAACCCTCTGCCAACGCCAGGTTAAGCGGGGTTGGTGCCTGACGGTTCTGGGGAAGGAGCCAGGACACCCCCGGGGCTCAAGGAGCATTCAGGAACACAGGCTGGGGGATGGGAGGACGGGTGAGGCTGTGAACAGGTGTTCAGTGGGCACCAGACCCTCCTGCCTCCCCAGGCTCTGGGGCACGGGAAGCCTGCGTGGGCATGCAAACGGCCACATTAACCCAGGGAGTTATCTGTCCAGAGCCGGACAAGGCCTCCTGGGGCCTGTGGAAGCCCGTGTCCTTGGCCTCAGTCTGAAGAGGAAAATCCAGAGCCCTTGTTTCTGTTTTACCAGAGAAAACAGCAACATCCGATTTTACGGAAGGACCGATTTTTGGCAAGAAGGGAAGGAGGTGGGCTCGGACACTAGCCTGGAGTCAGGGGCCGGCTCCGGGCCCAGGTCTGTCTCTGTGTGACTGTGGAGCTGTCTCACTCTAGGTGACAACCTGACATGTGTGACTTGAGGGGCCAACTTCTGGGGGGCCCATACAGCAGCACAGGTGACCCCCAGCCCTGGAAGAGACCCCGATCTTTGGGCTTTTCTGGGTGGCGCAGCAGAGACCGCAGACACCACCAGGGGGCAGCAGTGCCTGAGGTCCGCTCACTCACTTGCTTGAGCCACAGGTTGGTCTCCATGATCTGGTTGACTTCGTCCTAGAAGGAGAGACAGGAGTGGAGCCTGAACACAAACTCCGGGCTGGTTCTGGGAGAGGCTCTTCCAAGCCCCGCACCCCACGCCCCAGTCGCGGCTCCCGCACTCACCACCTTCACCAGCTGGGACATGGACACCTCGAACTGGATGATGACTGGGTCGGACACATTGGCCACCGGCCGGATGATCTCGTTGTAATCCTCGAACAGCCGCTCAAACAGACGGTGCTCGGCCTCGGAGGCCAAGGCCACTGAGGGAAGGACATGCCACGTTTCCCTGCGCCAGGGACACCCCCCCCACCCCGGCACCCTCATCGCCTGCTGCTGCCTGCTGCAGCACCTCGAGTTACAGACTGGGAAACTGAGGCCCACCAGATGCATGAGGTCACGCACATCCAGGGAGACAGCATGATCACAAGCCTGGGCTGGAGTTTGGATAGATCTGGTGCAAATCCTGCCAGACCGCTTGGAAGCTGTGTTAGCTTGGGCAAGGGGTTCAACCTTTCTAAACCCGACTTCCTTTACTCAGAGAACATCTTTTTATCTGCATCCACCCCAGGGTTGCAGCACGTGAAGGGCTCACCAAGGACCCTACCTCCAGTGTTCACACGGGGCGGGATCCTGACCTCCAGTGTTCACATGGGGCTGGGGTCTCACCTCCAGGGCTCTCACGGGGCGGGGGCCTCACCTCCAGTGTTCACACCGGGCGGGGGCCTCACCTCCAGTGTTCACACGGGGCTGGATCCTGACCTCCAGTGTTCACATGGGGCTGGGGTCTCACCTCCAGGGCTCTCACGGGGCGGGGGCCTCACTTCCAGTGTTCACACGGGGGCGGGAGCCTCACTTTAGTGTTCACATGGGGCAGGGGCAGTGCAAGTCCAGTCCGCTTCCATACAGCCACTCCCAGGATGGACAGATGGCCAGTGCGTTCCCAGGGCGTGCCCCACCCCCTCCCCCTTCTGCCTCCCAGCCTGTAGGAGGCTGCAGCCGCCCAGGACTCTGTAGGGGTTTCCCCACCAAACCTCCGGGAAGCTGGGTGTCTGTGTGGCTCCCATGATCTCGGAGTGAGACCCATGGCCAATCTCAATCTTTTCCCAGCGTGGTCAAAGTTATCTCCCTGAAAGGGGTAGGGGGATCCCCTTTGTTCCTAAGCCACACCCTAGGCGACTTGAGTCAGCCTTCTTAGACCACTTAGAGGTCTGAGGACAGCGCAGCGAGGGCAGGAGGGGAATCCTTGGGGAAGTCTAACCCAACTTGCCCGCGTCCTGAAATGGGGTCTTGCCCGCTGCCCCCTTCCAAACACATCAGAGACCGCAGGCAGGAGCTGCAGAGGAGCGCAGGGACTCGGAGTGCTGGGGTCCCCAGCATCAAGGGGACAGAAACGGCGCCCCCCTGACCGACTCCCGGTGTAGCCCTGACGAACCCCGGGCCCTGGGCATCTGCCCGCCCTCCCCGCCGCCCGCAGGCCCTCCGGCGCGGCGCGCTCCTCGGTGCGGCTCTGGCCAGCGGCCTCCTCCCGGAGACCCGGCACCAGGCGCGAGGCGCGGCCCGGGTCCCGGAGAGGCGGGGGGAGCGGAGGACGCGCCGGCCCCCAGCCTCCCGCGATGCCCCCCTCCCGTAGGTGGCACCGGCCTCAGTTTCCTCATCTTTTCCTGGAAGGAAGGGGTGGGCGGGAGGCAGACAATGGAACCGACGACCATGGCGCCGACGCCCGAACCCCAGCCCTCCCGGCTCGCGCCCAGATGACTCGGGGTGGAGGGGTGGCCGGAGGGGCATCCGGGCTCCCCGAGGTGGCCGGCGCCCCTTCTCTGCGCCCCCCGCCCGTCCCCCCGGTCCCGCGCCCGTACCTGGCGGCAGCACCAGCAGGGACAGCAGCAGCAGCAGCGGGAGCCCCGCGACCCCGGCTCCACGCGGATGGGCGCCCATGCTCGCGGGGAGCGCGGCCGAGGCGCAGGCTGACTCCCCGGCTGCTCCCGACGCAGCCCGCCCGCGCAGAGCCGGACGCCCCGGCGCGGGGCGCCGAGCCGGACGCTGGCCCCTCCCGCCCGCGGGGCGCCGGAGGCTGGGCGGGGGAGGCGCTCGGCGGGGCGGGGCGTGAGGGGCGTGCGGGGCGTGCGCGGCCTCCTGGCCGCTGGGGTCTAGCGCCCCCGGAGCGCGCAGGGAGGGCGAAGAGGGGCTGGTCCGGCCGCCCCGGCGCTGGGGACCTCGGGGCTACTGGGCCGCGGGAGAGGCTCCCACACATCCTCCGAAGCGCGCGGGATCCTGACGCCGCTGAGTAAGTGCGAAGTGTCCCAGGTGTGATGCTGGGATCGCGGGGTTCGTGTTTTCCTTATAGTTTGGGGGGGCGGAAACGGGGTCCTCCGCCCGTGGGTGCTTGTCGAGGCGGGAGGGGGACCTGCGTGTTTGCTAGATCGCGCTCCTCACCACGGGTTTGAAATGCTCCCTGATAACAGGGAAAAAGAAACTAAGGAATGAGGCTTGGAAATGGAGCTGCCGCATCTGCACCCGGGGCTTCCCGCCGGCGGCCCTGCCCCCTCAGCACCCGCCCCGCCGCCCCAGCATCCAGCTCCCCTGACGACCTGCTCGCGGTGGGGGGTTGCACCTCCAAGGGAGTCGTCTTTATTACTTCCAAAATGCGTCGCCTTAACCCCAAACGGAAGGAGGCATTTTGCAGGACCCAGGAAATGGAAGAATTGGGGCCAATGTCTCAGGTGCCCATTTAGGGCGTTCTCATTCTCTAGGCAAAAGCTCCTGCATTTGGAAAATACTGCAAGTCGGACACACAACCAAGGACTTGTATCCGGAAGATATACAGAAGCCTCAAAACTCAGAAGTCAGAGTAGAGAGGTGTGAGGGTCTTGTGTGGGTGACGCGAGTGTTTATGGTGATAAACTTACTAAAACTCATTGAATTGTACACGTAAAGTGGGCGAGTGTTATAACAGGTGTGTTATACCTTAATGAAGATGTTTTTAAAATCTCAACAGTAAGAAAACTAAAACCCAATTTAAAGAGTGAGCAGAGGAGTTAAACAGACACTTCCCCAAATAAGATGTATGTAGGCAAAAACCCCAAAATCACATGAAAAGATGTTCCACAATGTTGGTTGTCAGGGAAAGCAACTTCAGAGCTAATTCAGCGCTCGGCACCTACGGGGATGGTGGAGATAAACCCATAGGCCGAGCAGACAGGGCCCTGAGTGGCTCTCTCGCTGCTTGCTGGTGGGGACGCAGGGTGGCCCGGCCGCTCCACAGCCCCGTCTGGCTGGGTCCTGGAGGTCCAGCAGCCATTCCCCACGCAGCCCGGTGACTCCACTCCCAGGCGCCTCTCTAGGGTAGTGAAAACTCTTGATCACACAGAATCACACAGAATCCCAAGCACCTGAGTGCTTTACCGGGGCTCTGATCACAGCTGCCCCAGACTGGTCACTACCTGAATGTGTGTCCTTTGAGGGCCGGACTTCTCACTGCTCAGCAGGGGATGGTGCACGCAGTGCACGCAGCGACTCCAGGGATCTTAAGGGCCTTATGCTGAGGGACGAAAGCTGCCCGCTCTCCCGTGGCGGGCTGTGTGGTTGTGGGTGTGGCGTTCTTGAGACCAGACCCTGGGGTGGGGACCCAGTCAGTGGTTGCCAGGGACTGGCTGGGAGGGAGGCGTTGGGGTGATCGAGCTCTCCTGGGTCCTCACGACACGGATTTACACGTGTGTTAATGTTCAGAGAACGATACACAAAAAGCCAATTTTATTGTATAATTGAAAACAATGGAATTAAAAAGAAATCCTGCATTGCACAAGTATTTTACGAGCCTGTCATGTGCCCGGCACTGGGCGAACCAGTGGGAGGACTAGTCAGAGTGTCAGCGAGGGAAACAGCTCAGCCTGGCCTTGATCTGGAGCATGTGTCCTGGCTGGGGAGTGTGGCCAAGAGTCGTTCCGTCAGAAGGGGAGCCGGGGACGGCTGCTGGGGTGGGGGGGCGTGTGAGCTTGAAGAAGGAACAGGAGTCAGTCGTTCATTCAACATTTATTAAGCACCTGCTGTGTGCTGAGCGCTGTCCCAGGCCCTGGGGGTAGTGCAGTGAACTTGAAGGACCGGGTTCCTCCTGTCCCAGAGCTCACACTGGAGTGGGTGAGAGGTGGACAACACACACACCAGCCAGTGAGAATTCTGGTCCCCAGGAGGGCTGGAGGAAGGCAGGGTGATTGGGGAAGGCCTGGTGGGGAGATGACACTGGGACGGAGCATGGATGGGGTGCTGCAGCCACTGGAGGAGTGTGGGGGGGCCCTGGGGGAGGAAGGTACGGCAGTGCAGAAACTTTGAGCTGGAAAGGATCCCGAAGTGTGTGAGGGTCTTAGAGAAGACCAGGGGGCCTGTGGGCAGGGTAGCAGAGGGCGATGGGGTGACAGTGGGGCTGAGGGGGGGCAAGATTCCTGGCACATCCTTGTCCCCGGTGCAGGGAAGGAGACTGGCCGGAGTCACACTGTTTGAAGCCCTGTGCTGGGGCTCCCTGTAGGTCCTCCAAGGCCTTAAGTGAGGGCAGCCCCGGCTCCCGTCCTGTTCTCCCCTGGCTGTGGCTGTTTGACGGGGTGGACGGCCGAGGGACTCAGGTCCTCTCACTGCATGACCCTGTGGCCCTGGGGCACACAGAGCAGCCTAGGGCCCCTCAGAAGGCGTGTGGGTCTGGAAGAGGGGAGGCAGGAAGAGCCCCACGGTCCCGAGCACACACACGACCACAAACACCCACAGGAAGAGCCTGTCCACCACCACGGCCACGTACTTCCAGTCCTCGACGACCTGTGGGCAGACAGCAGCCGTTACGGGCGCCCGAACTCCCTGCTCTCCTTCCTCCCCCCGTGCAGGGCTGTCGCTGTGGGGCCAGGGCGCCCCCAGGCTGGTGTGGACCCCCTGTCGCCACCCTCAGCATCACAGGACCCCTGCTCCCCAGCATTGTTGCCCCACCCCCACCCACCCCACCCACAGAGTTATATGACCCCCCGCCCCCGCTCCGTGGGCACCAGGCAGGACAGGACGCTGGTAACAGCAACACCAGGAACTCTGGGCAGTGTGGCTGGAGAACCATGCCACAGCGAGGCCCCTTCTCTCATTTTCAGCCCCAGCCTCCTGCCTGAGCTCTGCCCGAAAGAAGATCCGGGGTCCACCTCACTGTGGGGGGGGCAGGACATACCCAGCTGCGGAATCTGCTTGGTTTCCTAACACTGTGGGCAGAGACCAGCCTCCCTGGCCCCCCGCTGCCCAGAGCCACTGCGGGCACCCTGGCTAGTCGTCCCCCACCCAGCCCCACCCCAGGCCCCTGTGACCTCTCTCTGTGCTCCCCGCTGGACAGTGGCCCGACCCAAACTCAGCAGAGGCTCTGGGCTTGCAAATTTGGGCAGAGGCAGACGAGCTGATGTCAGTGACCCAGTTTGTCGGGGCCCCTCCAGAGCGATCCTGTGTCAGGGCCCCTGCTCCTGGCACCGGGATCGGCAGGCCCCGAGCAACGTGCCCCGTGCGGCCTCTGCTTGGCTCTCTGGGGTTTCGTTTCAGAGGACCGTATCTTTGGTGTGTGTGTCTTTCCCCCTCTTTTTATACTTGTGTGCTATTTACAGCTTAATCCCGCGGTGGGGGAGGGGAGCGCAGGTATCGGAGCTGAGCCGCAGCCTGGGCTGGCGGAGGGGTAGCCGTGCTCCGAGGGGGACACGCTGGGCTTGAGGAGGGCGGCTGGCAAGTGCTGGGGGCAGGTGAGGCAGCGTGGACACGCGTGGCTTGGCCTGGGGCCAGGCAGCACCGTCTCTGAGCCTTGGCTCCCCGATGTGCAGTGGGGTTTGCATAGGCAGGTGCCTCTTGCCGCAGTTCCGGGGTCTTGGCCGGGATGTAGGCCTGGACCTGGCGGAGCACCCGGTGTGTGCTTGGAGTTCTGGGAAACGGTGATCACAATAACGGGGGACCTTGCCTGGCTTTTATTTAATTGCATCAGAAACGGGGAGAGGCCTGTGAGTGCCCAAGTGGGACCTTTAGAGGAGGGCGCTCAGGGCAGGGGGCCGCTCGGCCAGGAGCACGGACAGCAGGCTTCCCAGTGGCATGTGCTCGTGCAGCCTGGGGGTCCGGGTTTCAGTGTGGGCTTGGGGGGGCCTCCCAGAGAGCCCCGGGCGTGCTCCGACGTGGCCCTGGTGGCCCCAGAGCCGGACCAGGAACGGTCACCCAGAGATTTCCTGGAGCCCTGGGGCCCCGCACCGCATTTCAGCATCTGGGACCTGGTGGCCGAGCTGAGCCAAGCGGCTGGCTGGTTTTCAGAGCAAGCGCAATCCTGAGCGTCTTTGAGAACGCGAGATCGGAGGGTCCCCGAGAGCCATGCTCCTCGCTCCTGGAGCTGGAATGTGTCCTGGAGTCCGCTACAGACGCAGACCCTGAGTCCTGCGGGGCCAGGCTGGGGCTGCAGTGCTACTGGCAGGCGGGCGTGTGGCCCCCCAGGAGCTCCGGTCCCGCCACCCGTCGGTCATGTGCTCTCCCTCTGAGGGTGAAGCGGGAGCTTCCGCGGCCTCCCGTTCCTCCAGGCCAAGAACCGGAAATGAGGGCGCGCGCGAGACCGTGCCCTCCTTTCCTCCCGGCAGGCCGCCATGGGGACAGACCTGGTCTGTGAGGTGTTGGAAGGAGAGCACACGTGACCCCGTGACGCAGCCATCCTGGCCAATGTGGACGTGTGCAGGGACGTCTCCAGGCTGGGCCTTCCTGCTCTGCATGCAGTGACCCCCAGCCCGGCCTGCGAGACCCAGGAGACCCTCCAGGTTCGCGCCCCTGGCTTTGTCCTGTGACAGTAAATGTCACCTCTGTTTACAGACCTGTCAGTGTCATCCCACTCCACGTCATGACCCTGCGAGCAAAGATGATCTAACTGCCGGTTCCGTACTCCCCAAAGCTGTCCTGTTCTGAGCTGG